GGGCAAGGGGACAGGGTCAGTGCCCTGGGGACACCCTGAGCACCCCGGGGTGGGCAAGGGGACAGGGTCAGTGCCCTGGGGACACCCTGAGCACCCCGGGGTGGGCAAGGGGACAGGGTCAGTGCCCTGGGGACACCCTGAGGTGGTCACTGCGGGCAAGGGGACAGGGTCAGTGCCCTGGGGACACCCTGAGGTGGTCACTGCGGGCAAGGGGACAGGGTCAGTGCCCTGGGGACACCCGGAGCACCCCGGGGTGGGCAAGGGGACAGGGTCAGTGCCCTGGGGACACCCTGAGCACCCCGGGGTGGGCAAGGGGACAGGGTCAGTGCCATGGGGACACCCTGAGCACCCCGAGGTGGGCAAGGGGACAGGGTCAGTGCCCTGGGGACACCCTGAGGTGGTCACTGCGGACAAGGGGACAGGGCCCCAGGAAGAGAAAGGAATTCCTGCCTCCGAGGGCTGGGAGCTCTCCTGCCACCATCCTCACCCAAAGCAGCTCCAGGCACACGGAGCTGTGGCTGTCCCCACAAGCTCCAGCCCTCCCGGGGCAGTTTAGTGCAAAGATAAACTCGATTTTACTCCAATTCTCACCTCCCAGCCACACCGACCCTCAGGTTTCTCCTCACCCTGCTCCCAGGGGGGATTCCTGTGATGCCCAGCTCGGCCCCAGATTTAAATTCCTGCAGAATTCCCTCAGCTGGAATTCCAAAGGGAATCTCAGCTCTGGCTGCTGCTGAGGCTTTGGGGAGGGTCATGGTTATGTAACCTGCTGATGTCAGGGCTAAAATTAGGAACAAAGCCTCATTTCCTGTCAGAGCTGCTTTCAGTTTGCTTTTGGAGCCCTGCCTTGAACACACAAGCTCAGCATTGTCAGGAAAAGTCAGAATCCAAAAAATTAACCCCTTCCTGGATGGCCTCACCCTGCACAACAGCTCCATCCCTGCCCTGGCTGTCCAGAGGGTTTGGAGGTGGCAGGGACACCAAGGCAGCACAGCAGCTCTGAGGGATCTGAGGTTCCTTTGAGCCCCAAAAGGGAACTGGGTGGGATGTGAGGTCCCTTTAAGCCCAAAAAGGGCTCTGGGTGGGATGTGAGGTCCCTTTCAGCCCAAAAAGGGCCCTGGGTGGGATTTGAGATCCCTTTCAGCCCAAAAAGGGCAGTGGATGGGATTTGA